AGACCGTGAGAACTGGTGGGTAACAATAGCTAGTGAAATGGAAGTAGCAGCTGCATCAGGGAAAAGTTCGAGACTGTTCCAACTGATATGCAATACGGGAGGTCGGCGAACCACAGTTAGTGAAACAATCTGCGACAAAAATGGACAGGCTCTTCACAATAGGGAACAACAGCTTGACCGGTGGGCAGAGTACTTCAACGAGCAGTTCAACTGACCAGGCGCTAACCAAGCTATCTCCTCCGGTGTAGCTGAAGCTCCGTGGGCAGTGCCATCTGAACCTCCTACTGTAGCAGAAGTTCGTTCTTGCATCTAAGCCCTGAAGAAAAGAAAAGCAGCAGGGCCGGACGGGCTTCTTCTTGGACTATTACTGACCTAGTGCGTGAAATCTGGTCACACGAGCGCATTCCATCATCCTGGAGCCAATCACTGATCGTTTTAAGAACGGATCTCGCAACAACTGCGCAAACAACCGTGGAATGAGTTTGATCCCAATTGCCACGAAGTTAATAGCTTCCGTTATACTTCGACGTCTGACGCCGTTTAGGGAGACGAACATACGTGAACAACAAACAGGATTTCGACCAGGTCGCGGTTGTATCGAGCAAATCTTCACTCTGCGTCAAGTCCTCGAGCTACACCATATGCACCGTCGACCAACGGTTTTCGTGTTCTTTGACCTAAAAGGAGCCTTCGACTGAGTTGATCGTGAATTCCTTATGGGTACACTCCTTCGCAAAGGAATGCCTCAGAAGTATGTGAATATACTGAGTTCGCTCCACTCATATACCTCTGATAGCGTAAGGGTCTGTGGTGAACTGAGTAGGTCGTTCGTAACTAAGAGCGGTTGTCGTCAAAGGTGCCCTCCTTCGCCATTCATGTTCAATTACGCCATAGACTGGAGAACACACTAAGTGGTCTCCAAAATTTAGGTATTGAGTGGGCAGCCGGAGAAAAGCTGTGCGATTTGGAGTACAGTGACGCCATTGTCTGTTTGTTCGAATGTATGGAAGATGCACAAAGAGCACTTGACAGATTAGCAAGTTTTGAGCTCATATCTGATGCGCAGGGGAAAATGTCTCGGTGAGTGGAACATTTTGGTCTTTTTCTCAACCGCCCTCAGTCAGTCAGTCATCTCATCAGTCATCTCAAACCACGGAAATCTCCCGGTGAGGATGGGATACCCTCCGAAATCTACGCGAAGTGTTCTTCAGCCATTTTAAACCC